AATTCTTCTTCATAGAGATTGGCTCATAATTCTGTGCTCATCATATAGACTGAATAGGGATGTAGAAAGGATACAACCCTAATACACATCTTTCCTGATTTTAATGTTTTAATGCATGCAGTGTTCCATTTCTCCACTCAGACCATAACTTCTTGGTCTAGGTATAGATTCTGTATGAGCACAATTAAGTGTTCTGGGATTCCCATTCTTCTCAATGTTAGCCAAAACTTGTTATGATCCACACAGTCAAATGCCTTTATAAAATCATTAAAGCATAAATAGACATTATCCTGATATTCTCTGCTTTCAGCCAGTGATATCCATGATGTCACATCCTCTTCTAAAACCAGCTTGAACTTTTGGCAATTCTGTGTCAATGTAGTGTTGTAAACAGTTTTTGTTTTGTTTTGTTTTTAATTATACTAGTTTATTTACAAAATTTGAATACATTGTTTCTCACACCAGTTCCTTCCCATTTCCTAATCCCCCATCCATCAAATTGTGCAATTCCATGATTAATCACACACACACACACACACCCCACTCATCTCCACTCCTCTGCTTTCACTCCCCCCTCCCTTGGATTCTCATGCTCATTCTACATTAATGGTTTTATACAGTATTTTTCTTTATGTGACTGAGTTAGTTCACTCAGCATAATGCTCTCCAGTCCCTCCCAAGTTATATAATAATTTACAAAATTATTGCTCCTGCATGCTATGCGTAGTATTTCATTGTGTGAATGTACCACAACTTCTCAGTCCATTCGATTGTGGTTGGACATTTGGGCTGTTTCCATTTTCTTGCAATAGTGACTAACACTGCTATGAACACTGGTGTGCAAGTCTCCATTTGTGCCTCAGTTCTCATTTTCTCGGGGTATAGTCCAAGCAGCGGAATAGCTGGGTAATATGGAATTTCTATGTTCAGCTTTTTGAGGAAGTGCCAAACGGCCTTCCAGAGTGCTTGTACCATTGCACAATCCCACCAACAATGTATGAGAGTTCCTATCTTGCCACATCCTCCCCAATATTTATTATTTGCTGTCTTGTTAAACTTTGCCGCTGCTATTGGAATGAGATGGTATCCCATTGTGGTTTTGATTTGCAGCTCTCTTATTGCCAGTGATTTGGAGAATTTCTTCATGTGTCTGTTGGGCATTTGAATATCTTCCTCTGTGAGAAGTCTTTTTATGTATTTTGCCTATTTTGTAATTGGAATATCAGTCTTTTTTTGTGGAGGCCCAGGAGCATTCTGGAAAGTTTCATTGTGAGACTCTTGTCTGAGCTGGTATTGCCAAATGTTTGTTCACAGCAGGAGGTTTTCTTTTCACTCTGTTGGAAAAAGTTTTTGATGCACACAGGGATTTAATCTTTAGAAGGTCCCATTCATCAATTTTATTCTCTTCAGATTGTGTATTTCTGGCTATATTTGGCAGTCTCTTTATACCATAGAATAGCCCTTGTAAGCTTGATCCCAGTTTGTCTCTTAAGAACTTTATGGTATGGAGTTTTACTCCCAGGTCTCTGATACATCTTGAGTTTATTTTTTGTGTATATTGTGAGATGTGGATCCTTTTCAGCTTTCTGTATGTGGAAGTCCAGTTTTGCCAGCACCATTTGTTGAAGAGGTTGGAATTTCCCCATTTGATAGATTTTATTTCCTTGTCAAATATCAGTTGACCACAGATAGCTGGGTCTATTTCTGGGTTCTCAATTTTTTTCCATTGGTCTATGTGTCATTGGTCATTGTACCAGTACCATATGTAGTAGGTTTTCAGGTCAGGGAGTGTTACACCTCCCACTTCAGTTTTGTTTCTCAGAAGTGTTTTGCTTATTTGGGGTCTCTTGTTTCTCCAAATAAATAACAATTTCCCTCTCGATCTCCTTGAAAAATGAACTTGTTATCTGGATTGGGATTGCGTTGAATATATAGATTGCTTAAGGTAGGATTGCCATTTTCACAATATTGAGTCTTCCGATCCATGAACAGTGAATATTTTTCCATTTCTTTAGATCTTCTATTGTGCCTTGCAGAAATGCTCTGTAGTTTTCTTTATATACATCTTCTGTATCTCTAGTTAGGTTCACTCCCAAGTATCTCAATTGTAGTTAACTACTGTAAATGGTATTGCTTTCTTGATTTCCTTCTCTGAGTTTTCTTTGTTACTGTTGAAGAATTCTATTGATCTTATATCCTGCCACTCTACTAAATTAGCCAACTAGCTCTTTTGTTTTCTTTTGTTGTTGTTGATTTTTTGAGGTTTTCTGTGTATACTATCCTATCATCTTCTAGTCAGTTTTGAATAAATTTCAACAGTGTTTTGCTTGCATGAGATATTAATGACATTGTCTGATAATTCCACATTCTGTTGGATTACCTTTCTTGGGAATGGGGACAAATATTGATTTCTTCCTGTCAATTGGTCAAATTTCCTGATATAATATGATGAATACATCTAGGGCTGCACAGGTAAGGAATTGCACTGCTAAGCCAAAAGTTGTTGTTGTTGTTGTTGTTGTTGTTATGTGCCGTCGAGTCGTTTGTGACTCATAGCGACCCTATGTACAACAGCCCTAAACCCTGCTCTATCCTGTGCCAGTTGCATTGCCTCTGACACACCCATCCCGATTACCCCAGTCACTGAATCAATCCACCTCATAGAGGGTCTTCCGCTCCTGTGCTGTCCCTCTACCCTACCAAGTATGATGTCCTTCTCTAAAGACCTGTCTCTCCTTACAACATGTCCAAAGTATGTCAGACGAAGCCCCAGAATCCTTGCCTCTAAGGAGTAGCCTGGTTTAACTCTCTCTAAGATGAATCTGTTTGTTTTCTTGGCAGTCCATGGTACATTCTATACTCTTCTCCAGCACCACAGCTCAAAGGCGTCAATTCTCCTTCTATCCTCCCTAGTCATTGTCCAACTCTCTGACGCATAACAAGTGATTGCAAAGACCATAGCCTGTATCAGGCGGACCTTAGTCTCCAGAGTGACACCGTTGCACATGGTGCAAACCCACCAGGTGCTTATGAGGGAAAAGATGGACTATTTCCTCCAGTGCAATTTACATCTTCTGAAAACCTGCTGGAAGGTCAGCTATGGGTTGGTTCCAAGGCAGCATGCAATAACAATGGACAATTCTATGAGCCAGATAATATTATCTCACATCTCCCTTTTATTTTCCAAAGAAGGAAATTCTGGCTCAGTGTGTTGTTGCTGCTGTTGTTGTACCTTCCAGTCAGAACTCACCCATAGATGACCTCCAACAGGTTTTCAGAAGAGGCAATTAAAAGCAAGAGAGGATATTGCCCATTCTTCTCTCGCAGAGCAGATTGCAGCGCAGCTTTTTGCTTCTTGCCACTCAGTGTAGATGACATTTAATCATTCTTCAGGCAGCACAGCTCTGGCAAGAAGTATGACTTTTTTACATTTTTAATCCCCTTCCTCAAATAAAATATTAATTTAATGATGATAATAAGTCATAATTTTAATGCACTTGCATACCAGGCTCTTTTCTGATGACTGTACATGTAGTAACATTTGAGTAAAATATTTTTGTCTTTGTCTTTTCTCACTACAGATAGATGGGGGGTTTAAAGAATGCAAAAGTATTGAAAATAAAGTAAACTTGCACATAAAAATATCACTTTTATCTTAAATCTCCCACCACTAGCTCTTCCACTTTTTTAACCCCATGCCCAGTTCATCTGATACCATAACAGTAGATAAAATGGAGAGTAGGGGAGGAAATGTGGACAGAAAGGTTTGTTAATCTGGGAGCAGAAAGTGACAATTCTGTAAAGAATATGTAAAAATGTTCAGTAGGTCCAGATATAGAGCATCCCCTATATAGTAAGCAAAGAAAGGTAAATACCTTTTATTTTGGTGGCAGGGAGGGGGGGAGAAGGCGACAACAGAAAGCACTGACAATACCAAATGCCTAAGGGGGAAATGTGAAAAAGGAGCAGAGGGCGGGCTGTGGGAGTGGAAATTGACGACCAGTGAACACTGGTGACGTAGATCTCACATGATCAGAAGTCGACGTGTGCAGAAGTCCTGCTAGTCTGGCCCTTATTCCAGTCTGGGTACCATCTCCCTTTTGCTGTGCTGGCGGCGGAGCCTGAGGCCAATGGAAGGAGAAGGTGTCAACTTAATGAAATTGTGAAGGTTTGTATCAAGATGGGTGCTGCTTGTGAGAGCCCAAACCTGTTTCTCCCCTGGGACCTACCCACCTCCAGGTCTGCAGAAATTGATGACCCATAGGAAAGGAACCAAGATCTGGGAGAAGGACAAGGAGAACAGGGATACTCTAAAAAGCCTTTCAGGGAGCTTTCCTAACATTCGCCCTCTCCCCAACTCCCGCCTCTTAGTTTGGAAACTAATTTCTCCACTCTCTATCTGATGGGAAGTGAGAGCGAACTTGCACTGGAAAGAAGAGGGGGAAATTAGGGGAAACTTTTCATAACCTAAACTTGAATGAGAGAGAGAGAGAGATGCACGTACCCTGTCCTCCCCTCTCCCCCGCCCCCACCATGCTGATACACCCACCAAGCGATCGCACCCCACCCCCTTCTCATCTGTGTGCAGATCTACAGTTTCTTGGCACGATACAAGGCTATAACAGAAGAAACCTAGCCGGATCAGTACAGGTAAGTGAGAGCGTCATAATAACCTTTGAAATGGAGGTGGGCAAGGACCAAACAGAAATTACAGACCTCAGTGCCCATCCCCCCTCAAGCAACTGTATTCTGGGAAGCCCTGGGAAAGGGTGGAGGGAGGGATAAGAGAGAAGAGAGGAAGTAGGTGGAATGAGGAGGGATCAGGAAAGCCTCTATTCCTGTGGTTGGGCCTCTCAAATTTGAACACAACTCTGAGTCTAATAAGCCAAATTCTGAGACCTAAAACACTGTCCCATTCACCAAGCCTTTGTCTTCTTCTTGCCTCCTAGGAGTATTCCAAGTCGAATAAGCAGGAAAAGAAAGAAAGCGAGGCAAACAAGATGAAACCCTGTCAAAAAATGGAAGGAGCACCTGAGAATGAGAGTGAAACAAAGTTTGAGGAAGAGCCAACTCCTGAGGAAAAAACAGAGGAGAAGGAAGAACCAGAAGAGGAGGGCAACACAGAGGAATCTTTCAGAGAAAGGCTGATTCAGTCTCTCCAGGAATTTAAAGAAGATATCCACAATAGGCATTTAAGTAAAGAAGATGTGTTTAGAGAAGTGGAGGAAATGGAAGAGATAAGGAGAGTCAGAAACAAACTTATAGTGATGCGTTGGAAGGTTAATAGAAATCATCCTTACCCTTATCCTTATTTAATGTAATTTGCCTTGATTTTTATTGAGATTAGCATTGTCATATAGCTTCCTCTTGATTTATACTTTCCTGTTATTCTTTTACCTATCATCCTAACTCTTTACATGCTGATGTTAGTGGTTTTAGAAGTATCTTGCTAGCTGTATCTTATTGTTTATCATATTTTGAACCAAGTAGGGATGTTTTACTCATTTGTGCAAAAAAGAGGTTCCTGAAGAAATAGGTGAATGTCGTATTTTTTGAAAAGGCAGAGTACATTTGTATATCATATATATGCACGTAAAAATGTCTAAATGATGAAAGACAAGAGATTAGTATCTTGGTGGTGGAATAATGGGTGATTTTTTCTTTTTTATTATTTGTATTTTTCTTGCTCCTAGAATAAACATGCATTATTCTTGTTTAAAAATTAATAAAAGTTTTTAACAACAACAACAACTAAAAAGCAACAGCAACAATTAGTGGTTTATTTCTAAAGGCATTGGGGACATCCTAACATTTATTACTAAAATTTTAGAAGCAAATGTGAACCTCAAATTACCATAATTAATCTATAAGAATAGATCTTGCATCTCTTCTCATATATGAAATAGAATAATAATGATCTCACAGGGATGTTGTGGGAACCAAAGGAGGTAATTGCTGTGAGCTGTGTTTGTCAAGTTTTGTCCCTACCTACCTTGTTGTTGTTGTTGTTGATTGTCATCGAGTCAAGCACAACTCATAGCGACCCTATGAACAAAAGACATGAAGCCTTTCTCTATCATCATTTCTCAAAGTTCATAGAGTTTCCAGAGGCATGTTGTTTAGGAAGTGGATGCTACTCTTGCTTCCAAACTTGCCTTAAACTTAACTCTAGAAACTTCTTTCAGGTTAAGGTAGTACTCATATGTAATTAAGGTAAAGTCCAGGCAGCCATTAGGTAGGTACCTTTATGTTAAGGAAACTGTGGTGGTGTAATCCAAAGGGAGTTTACACTGTTAACTCAAATATGGGATCTCTGTTCAAATCCACCAGTGGCTCTGGAGGACAGGGATAGACAATCTCTTCTCCTCTCATACAATTTACAGCCTCAGAAACACAAAAAAGGGCTACCTATGAGTTGTTTTCTACTTGATGGCAATGAGAAAGAGAGACCTTTATGTTCCTATCTTGTACCTTCCAACATCCACTCCTTTCGGTAATGTTGAGTATTTCTGCCTTTCCTACCAGATCCTGCATCCTCCAGGCCTCTACCACTGTTAATACACTATATTCCTCAAGTAGGAAAAGTCAACCTACCATTCAGAATATCCAGGGAGATGAATCCCCAGCCCTAAACAAGGTGATGAGAAGGCTTTCCTGAAAATATATACCTTGAGAAAAAAGAATTATCCCACCTTCAAGTTAGATAACCTCTACCCTTTTTCTTTTTTAAGGATGATTGATAGAAACAATATAAGGAAGTATATTCTGTATTCTATGCTGAATATACTGTGGACTTCCAAAAGAACAAATCTTTTAGAGTAACTGCAACCAGAATGTTTCTTAGAGGCAAGGATGTTGTCTGGAGAAGACCCTTAAGGAGATGGATTGGCACAGTGACTGAAATAGTAGGCTGGAGTAGATCAGAAATGGTGAGGATGATACAGTATAAGGCAAGTTACAGATCTGTTTTTCACAGTTGCTATGAGTCATAGTCAACTTGACAGCATCTAACAACAATATTATACAGGGAGGGAGATAAAGCCTCAATGTCTCTGTTTAAGGAAAATAATGGTAATTAAGATTTAGGGTGATGTTCAGTTCTTTTAAAAAATAAAATAAGTGAGTCCATTTGAAGAACATTGCAATACAATATTAGTAGCATAAAAAGTACACAAATATGGCAAAAATAATTCTGATGAGAAATATTGTCCTAGCATAATTGATTTAAGGATAATATATCTAGAAACATCTGTTATGAACTACACAGAGCCTGAGATTTTACTCTACTTAGACAGCAACAAGTTAGTCTGTTAGTGTTTCAAGAATGCTGGCAGATGACACTAGATTTCTGGTCAAAGAACATTATTACTTATGGCAAAAGCAGTAACTAAGGGGGCTTTATGCTAGTTTATGTTGATTCTCCATGCTCAAATTTCATGGGACAGGACATATGACAGATACCTGCACATGTTTTGTTACAGAAAGAAAATGCTAAGTTTTGGCGATTCACAGCTTTTATAGTAAAAGGGAAGAATGACTCATGGCAAACAACTCTTGTGAAATATCCCAGGTGAAGAGAGGTCAAGACCTTGCATTCTCGACATTCTGAACAAGAACATACAGTTGTTGTTGTTTTGTGCCATCGAATCGCCTGCTACTCATAGCGACCCTATGTACAACAGCCCTAAACTCTGCCCTATCCTGTACCAATCTCACCATCTCTGACACACCTACCCCCATTACCCCAGTCACTGAATCAATCCATCTCATCGAGGGTCTTCCTCTCCTGCACTGTTCCTCCACCCTGCCAAGCATGATGTCCCTCTCCAAGGACTGGTCCCTCCTTGCAACATGTCCAAATTATGTCAGATGAAACTTCAGAATCCTTGTTTTCCTAGTAGTCCATGGTATATTCAATACTCTTCTCCAGCACCACAGCTCAAAGGCATCAATTCTCCTTCTATCATCTCTAGTCATTGTCCAACTCTCTGATGCATAGTAAGGGATTGCAAAGACCATGGCATGTATTGAGTGCACCTTAGTCTCCAGACTGACATCTTTGCACTTCAGTGCTTTAAAGGGGTCTCTAATCACACTTTCCCATTGCAGTACATCTTTTAATTTCCTGGCTGCTGGTGCCAAGAGTGTTGACTGTGGATCCAAGCAAACAAAAACTGTGAACAATCTCAGTCTCTTCACCATCCATTATGATGCTGTCAATCGGCCCAGTTGTGAAAATCTTTGTTTTCTTGATATTGAGTTTCAATCCATACTGAAGACTGCAGTTCCTGACCTTCCACAGCAAGCGCTTCAGGTCCTCCTCAGTTTCAACAAGCAAGGTTGTGTCATTTGGATAACGCAGATTGTTGATGATTCTTCCTCCAATCCTGGTGCCACATTTCGGCTCATAGAGCCCATCCTCCCGGATAACCTGTTCTGCATAAAGATTGAAAAGGTATAGAGACAGCATACTGCCCTGGCATACACCCTTTTCAATTTTGAACCATGCAGTGTTTCCTTGCTCTCTTCTCACGACTGCCTCCCGGTCCAAGTGTAGGTTTCACATTAGCACAATCAAGAGTTCTGGGATTCCTATTCTTCTCAGAGTTAGGAACAGTTTGTTATGACCCACACAGTCAAATGCTTTTGTGTAATCAGTGAAACAAAGATAGACATTCTTCTGGTATCCCCTGCTTTCCACTAAGATCCATCTAACGTTAGCTACAATATCCCTAGTACCACGGCCCCGTCTAAACCCAGCCTGCACTTCTGGTAGTCCTCTGTTGATGTGCTATTCCAGTCCTTACGTGTGATATTAATGATATTTTTTATCATTTCCATACTCTGTGGGATCAACCTTCTTTGGAATGGGAACAAATATAGATCTCTTCCAGTTAGTCGGCCGAGTAGTTGTTCTCCAGATTTCTTGGCAAAACTTGGTGAGCACATCTAGTGCAACATCTGTTAGTTGAAATATGTCAATTGGTATACCATCAATTCCTTGGGCCTTATTCTTAACCAATTCTTTCAAAGCAGTCTGAACTTCTTCCTTCATCACTATAGGCTCTTGCTCATTAAATTCTTCTGTGTCTGCCAATTCCTTTTGGTATAATGACTCTGTATAATCTTTCCATCTTCTTTGCATACTTGCAGGATCACTCAATATTCTGCCCAAAGCATCCTTGAGTATTGCAACTTGAGGCTTGAATGTCATCTTCAGTTCCTTGAGCTTAAGAAATTCTGAGCGAGTTGGGTCTCTTTGATTTTCTGACTCCAGCTCTTTGCGCATTTCATTATAATACTTTACTTTGTCTTGACTACCTCTCCTCAAAACACTATTTGTTCTGTGCCATAAACTCTAATGTGAATATCAAGCCTTACCCATCCCTACAAACTCTGATGTATAATTTAAAATCAAATGCAGAGAAGAATGCATTATATTGTAGGTTATAAAGAGACTGAGTATTACTATTTCTACTTTTTATTTAGGAGAATTTCTACTTATTTTTTATTTATATTTTCTCTTTTATTAAATTTATATTTATATAATTCTTTATAATTATGATTTGAGTGAAAGTTTATAAATTAAATTTGTTTTTAATTCACCTGTTCATACATATTGTGGGTTTTGTACATATTTTTTAAAATTTTGTATTTATTTGCATATAAAATTCATATACATTGTGTTTCACATATTCCTTCATTCACATTGTGTTTCATATAATCATTCCCATATATTGCATTTTATAAAACCAAACACCATTGATCTATACTCCCTATCAACCGATCTTTTCAGGTCTCCACTATTTCTTTTCTAATTTCTTCACTCCCTCTGCCCACCAATCTCTGTGAATCTGTGATTCCCCTCCTGCCCCCCTTTCAGCTCTCCTGCCCCCTCCATTTCCCCCTTTGTATTTTTATACACATCTTGCTAATTATTATTCTGTTTTACAATAATAGTCTTATGCAGTATGCAGTATTTGTCGTTATGAGACTGAGTTAGTTCACTCAGCATAATGCTCTTCAGCCTCTCCCATGTTATATGGCATTTTTCAAAACCGTTGCTTCTTAATTTGTGTGAATTTACCATGGTTTCTCAGGCCATTTGTTGATGGACATTTGGGCTTTTCCCATTTTCTTACTATTGTGAATAACCCTGCTATAAACATTGGTGTACAAATCTCTGTTTGTGTCTCAGTTCTATTTTGCTCAGGGTGTATCCCTAGCAATGGAATAGCTTGGCCATATGGAATTTCGATGTTCAACTTTTTGAGGAAATGTGTCAAACTACCTTCCAGAGTACTTGTACCATTTTACAATC